AACTTTAGCTTAAGCTCCAATAGAAGATAGAAAATCAAATTGCTAAAATAAACTTTTTGTAGGAATGATAAATTCAGTCAAAAATATTCTTTTTTTTCTTTTTCTTTTTCTTTTTTTTTTCTTTTTTTTTTTTTTTTTGACAGGCAGGTGGACAGTGAGAGAGAGAGACAGAGAGAAAGGTCTTCCTTTGCCGTTGGTTCACCTTCCAATGGCCACCGTGGCTGGCGGCTGGTGCATTGCGCTGATCCAAAGCCAGGAGCTAGGTGCTTATCCTGGTCTCCCATGCGGGTGCAGGGCCCAAGTACTTGGGCCATCCTCCACTGCACTCCCGGGCCACAGCAGAGAGCTGGCCTGGAAGAGGGGCAACCGGGACAGAATCCGGTGCCCCGACCAGGACTAGAACCTGGTGTGCCAGAGCCGCAGGCAGAGGGTTAGCCTATTGAGCCGTGGCGCCGGCCAAAAATATTCTTAAGTAATTGTTAATAATGGAAGAAATGAGGGACCGATATTGTGATGCAGTGGGTTAAGCCACCACAAGAGATGTAAGCATCCCATATCAAGTGCCAATCAAACCTTGGCTGTTCTGCTCCTGGTCCAGCTCCCTGCTAATGCACCTAAGAAGGTATTGGAGGATGGCCCCTGCCACCCACATAGAAGACCTGAATGGAGTTTGAGGCTCCTGGCTTCAGCCTGGTCCAGAGTGGGCTGTTGCAGGCCATGTGAGGAGCGAACCAGCAGAACAGAACATCTCTGTCTCTCCCTCTCTCTGCCACTCTGCCTTTCAAATACTTTTTTTAAAAAAAGAAATGAACATAAATATCACAACTTTTATTAAAAGACAGTTTTAATTCTTGCCAATATGATCAAAGAAACATTTTGATTTATAAAAGGTAGATCTATGGTCATGTGTATTTTGGTCAAATGATCAAAAGTAACATGTTCTTTTTTTAAAGATTGAGTATTTATTTATTTGAAAGGCAGAGTTAGAAAGAGCCAGAGAGATGCCGGCGCCGTGGCTCACTAGGCTAATCCTCCACCTTGCGGCGCCGGCACACCGGGTTCTAGTCCCGGTTGGGGCGCCGGATTCTGTCCCGGTTGCCCCTCTTCCAGGCCAGCTCTCTGCTATGGCCAGGGAGTGCAGTGGAGGATGGCCCAGGTGCTTGGGCCCTGCACCCCATGGGAGACCAGGAAAAGCACCTGGCTCCTGGCTCCTGCCATCGGATCAGCGCGGTGCGCCGGCTGCAGCGGCGGCCATTGGAGGGTGAACCAACGGCAAAAGGAAGACCTTTCTCTCTCTGTCTCTCTCTCTCACTGTCCACTCTGCCTGTCAAAAAAAAAAAAAAAAAAAGAAAGAAAGAAAGAGCCAGAGAGAGAGAAAGAGAGGTCTTCCATCCACTGGTTCACTCCCCAGATGGCCTCAACAGCTGGAGCTGCGTCAATCCAAAGCCAGGAGCCAGGAGCTTCCTCTGGGTCTCCCATATAGGGGCAGGGGACCAAGCAATTGGCCCATCTTCTACTGACTTCCCAGGCTATAGCAGAGAGCTGGATCAGAAGTGGAGCAGCCTAGACTGACTGGCAATCATTTGGGATGCCAGCCCCACAGGCAGAGGCTTAGCCCAGAAGTAACATGTTCTAAAATAAGATTTAGAAATTACATTTTTGTCTTCAAAAACAGTAAAATATAATATTCTAGTGATTTTAGAGTTACTAGTATGACTTAATTACCTACCTACTAATACTGAAATTAATATTGCATTTGAAGTGTATGATACCATCTTGCCATTTTATTTGAAAGAGCATTACAGAGAGAGGTAGAGACAGAAAGAGGTCTTCCATCTGCTGGTTCACTCCCCAGATGGCTGCAATGGCTCTGGAGCTGCGCCAATATGAAGCCAGGAGCTTCTTCCGGGTCTCCCGCGTAGTTGCAGGGGCCGAAGGATTTGGGCCATCTTCTACTGCTTTCCCAGGCCACAGCAAAGAGCTGGATCGGGAAGAGGAGCAGCTGGGACTAGAACCGGCGCCCATATGGGATGCTGGCACTGCAGGCCTGGACTTTAACCCACTGCACCACAGCACTAGCCCCCATCTTGCCATTTTGGTGAGAAAAAAATTTGTTGATTTTACAAGCTGTTTTACCATTTGACGGTGTCTGTAACAGCCTATTGGTTTAAAACAGCGATCCTGTCTGGTCAGGATTACAGCATGGACAGGTGCTTCTGCTAGTGTGGGCTGGGCCTGGCTGCTCTTAGGCTCACTCCTGCATGTGCAGGTCACCTGTGAGTCCCCCTAGACCATCTAGCCTTAGCCAACTCAGCCCAGACCAAAACTGCCAATTCATCCAACACACAGAATGGTCAGATAAATAATAAATGTGTGCTTTTTGGCCACCAAGTTGAGATGGTTTGTTATGCAGCAAAAGTTAACACATCCCATCAGAACAGTCTTTCTGTCCACCCACATGCATGTGCCTTCCATAAAGAACCTCAGAGGGACAGGCATTTGACCTAGTGGTAAGATGCCCTATGTCTCCTATCAGAGTGCCTGGATTTGACACCCAGCCCTGGGTCCTGACCAGATCTGCTCCCTGCTAAGTTAAACCCTGGGAGGCGGCAGTGATGGCTCCAATGACTGGGTCCCTGCCACCCTCATGGTAGACCTGGACTGAGTTCCTGCTCCCAGCTTCAGTCCTGGCCCAACCCCAGCCTTTGCAGGCATTTGGGGAGTGAACCAGCACATGGGAGCATGTTCTCTCTCGCTACCCAAACCCCTCCCCCAGCTCTCAAATAAACAATTTTTAAAACAATGAATAGTAAAATTAAAAAATTTAAAAGAACCCTATAATCTTCTAGCAGCAATAGAAGTCAATATGTAATTAGCTGCTAATTACATTGTTAGTTGATAGTTGTAAGAGTGCATCATGGGGGAGAGGTGAGCCATGTTCTCTTGACCGCTGGGAGTCTGAGTCAGACATTACTGAACCATCCACAGCCTCCCACTATATTTCATGCTGAACTCATTTTCCCCTCTCTCTGAAGCCCTATAAACTTTCTTTCTGAATAGAAAGAACACACTAAACTCAGAGGAGACTTAAAAATCATCCATTAGAATGTGGGAACAATGATAACTCCTTTTTTATATTTAGTTTTATTGCATCTTTTAAAAATTTATGTTTGTGTAAATTTTATTGTGAACAAAACCTATGAATACAGTGCTACAAACATAAAAATTTTTAAATTAACTGCTCAAAATAACTTCTATTGATAGCATTATAGACATTTGGAGACACCTTATGTAAACACACCTCTAAATTTCTGGATGCCAGGCATCCCAGCACATAGAATATGTATCTTGTCCTAATCCATCTTCAAGGAATTCTGTTCTGCTGCAGTCACCGGATCCCCAGGAAATTTCTTATAGGTCTTAGAGCTCATCCTCTGACAACCCTTGATTAACCCAACACTTGGTATACGTCCGTGGTGGGCACTGGGTGTATCTTAGGTGAACAAGAGTCACAGCTCCTTACTCTAATGGATTTGCAGGATCTCTCTTTTGTCGCACCATCCATATCTGTTCCACAGTCTCGATCCTCTCAAACCTGTCCCCAGTCCAGAGAGGGAAGAACACCTTGTGGCTTCCACAGGAAATGCAGACCAGCTTTGCTGCTTGGGTCAATCAGCAAGCAGGAAGTGCAGAGAGAAGAGGGAAAACCTAACTAGGTATTTCACGAGAAGGAGGGCAGATGAAAACCTGTCTGACACTGCCTCACTCCACAGCAGGGACCCGCCTTTCCCTAGTCACAGCCAACTGAAGGAGGCAGAGAGGGCTGTTTTAGGAGACGGAGGGCACAAAACGATCCTCTCCCCCCCACTGCCAGAGGACGGTGAAGCAGGGGGGCTCCCCAGACCCTGATCGCATCCATAGCTGTTCCGCTCAGTGGTGAGGAGCGCTTAAGCCTGCCTACGATCAGGCTGCAGGGGGCACCGAAAAGACTGTTGTCAAGAAGAAGAGGTGCACAGTGAAGGAGGGATGTAAGCTCCTGTTCTTTCTCGGGTTCTACTCTGTAAATAGCTTCAGTCTTTCCACTTTATATTTCTTAGTTGCTTTTTTAAAAGTTTATTTGAAAGGCAGACTAACAGAGAAAGAACTTAAGAAAGAGAGAGATATTGAGAATATCTTCCATCTATTGGTTCGCTCCCAAATGCCCTCAACAGCCTGGGCTGGGCCAGGCCAAAGCCAGGAGCCAGAAACTTCATTTGGTTGGTTGACAGGAACCCAAGTGCTAGGCCATCCTATGTTGCCTCAGGCTGCACATTAGCAGGAAGCTGGAAAAGGGGTGGGATTCAATCCCAGGCACCCTGATATGGGATGCAGGAGTCCCAAGTGGCTATTTAACTCAGTGTGCTACACGTGCACCCATAGTTCCCTTTTTTAATCAAATGTATTTTGTTGGCATGTAATACTTGTACATTTTCATAGGGTACTATGCATTACTTCAATACACACACACATACACAAACACACACACACACACACACACACACACACACACGGGATAAAGCAATCAAGCTAAGAAACCAGGCTTTCATTCTCCTTGTCCTCTGCCTGTGTTTGGTGCCTCCTAGCTGCCCCCATCCAGTGTGTAATACGTTACTGAGAACTGCAGCCTCTATAGTCACTGGGCTGTGGAACAGCAGAACTTGTTACTTCTACGTTTTGGTACCTGTTATTCGATCTCCCTCTATCCCCTCCTCCTCTCACTCTTCCCAGACTGCAAGAATCATTATTCTGGGGCTGTCACTGTGGCATAGTAGGCTAAGCTTTTACCTGCTGTGCCAGCATCCTATATGTGTGCCGGTTCATGTCCCAGCTGCTCCACTTCTGCTTTTTTAAAGATTTATTTATTTGAAAGGCAGAGTTACAGAGAGGCAGAGGCAGAGGTAGAGAGAGAGAGAGAGGTCTTCTATCTGCTGGTTCACTCCCTAGATGGCCACAAAGGCTGGAGCTGTGCCAATCTGAAGCCAGGAGCTTCTTCCAGGTCTCCCATGCAGGTGCAGAGGCCCAAGGACCTGGGCCATCGGCGCAGTGCACCGGCTGTGGCAGCCATTTCGGGGGTGAACCAACGGAAGGAAGACCTCTCTCTCTCTCCCCCTAAGTCTGCCTGTCAAAAAAATAATAATAATAATAAAAAGGGAAATAAAGCCAGTGTCCTGCCTCTGAGTTCAGTGTGTGTGAAGCTGTGGCTTTGTAGGCACTGCAGATGGCTTCAAGTGCAGAGGAGCCATGACCAGATTTGGTATTTTGGAATGTCACAAGTGGACATGTCACAAGTAGATCTGTCCTGTTGTTTCATTTATACTCCTGGTCTCTCACTTGTGTTGGTAGCGTGTGCCAGAGACCAGGAATATCTACTCTGTGGGGCAATGAACATCCAGTATTGTCGTAGGACAATGGTATCCTGGGTGTCGTAAAAGGTGCATCTGTCATCACTCTGACAAAACAGGAGCCGCTGATATCTGATTCGTGGCTCATCAAACTTATGGCTGCAACTAACTTCCCAAACTGATGTGGCTCTAGCAAATAACAAGTTTTAAACTCATCAATAAACATTATTTTTCATTGTAAATTGAGAATAGCATTGTGGTTTTATTTTTAAGTGAGCATTTAAGTGAATTTCCAATCTTTTATCTTTATTATTTGATTCAAGCCTGTAATTCCTTATCCACTACTCAGAAATCCAAAAAGGAAGTTGTTTTTCTTCATTTGGCAGCAAAACTTGCCATGAACAGACGCGAGGCTATTTATAGTCTCTATTCTACTCAATGAGAATACTCATAAGTTTTGCTGCAGAAATGTAATGTGCTTGATCACAAAGTAGATTCTATCTGAATCTACCAAGATATGACTTTTGACCTTTCTCTGCACCCATTGAGCTAATTATGGTGTTTGTCCTTTATTATATTTCATGGTGAATTATACTGACTTCTTCATGTTAAACCCGATTTGATTATAGTGTATTACTTTAAAATGTATTTCTGGATTTAATTTTCTTATATTTTGTTTAGAATTTTCACATATATTTCTATAAGAGTTAGCCTGAAATTTACTTTTGTAATGTCCTTGTCAGGTTTTGAAATAAAAGTTACTTGGCCTATGTGGCTGGTATTGTGGTATAACAGGTGAAGCTGCCGGCTGCAGTGCCAGCATCCCATATGGGCGCCGGTTCAAGTCCCAACTGCTCCACTTCCGATCCAGCTCTCCGCAATGGCCTGGGAAAGCAGTAGAAGATGTGGCTTTGGATCGGCACAGCTCCAGCTGGTGCGGCCAGTTGGGAAGTGAACCAGCAGATGGAAGATCTCTTTCTCTCTGCCTCTCTTCTTTCTGTGTAACTCTTTCAAATAAATAAATAAATCTTTGAAAAAAAAAGTTACTTGGCCTCATGAAATAGGTGTGGAAGATATTCACTATTTATTTATTTCCTGAATAGTCTGTGTAAGACTGGTATTGCTTCTTTCATAAATGTTTGATAAAAACTATAAGACTGGAGTTTTCTTTGTGGGATCCCTTTTTTAAAAAAAAAATATGAAATTATCCATGTTTTTCTGTTCTTAAACAAATTCTGGTATATTATAGTTTTCCTGGAATTTTTCCATTTCATCTCAAATTTTATTTACTGGCATAGGACTATTTATACTATTCTTTTATTATCTGTCCATTATCCACAGGCTTCAAAGAGTTGCTTCTTTGCATTCAAATGTTGCCTATTTGCATCTTCTCTTTTTGTCTGGATCAGTTGTGAAAGTCGTTTGTCGGTCTTGTTAGAGAACCAAATCTGGGCTCCTTTGTTCCTCTCTTTATGCTTGCTTCTTATTTCATTAATCTCTTCATTTATTCTTTTTCTCGCATACACTTTCTTTGAGTTTATTTTGCTGTTCTCTTTTTAATTTCTTAAAATGGATGCTTAGTTCATTAATTTCTCAGCCATCCTTCTTTTCTAATAATTCACTCAAGACTAATAAATTTCCCTTTAAGAAGCTTCACCCTGCATTTTTGAAGTGTGCTATTTTATTGTCATTCAATTTCAAATAGTTTTAAATTTCATTGTGGTTTATTTTTGGACATAAATTATTTGGAAATGTATGTCTTCACTTCCAAACATGTGGATTTCCCAGTTTTTGTTACTGTAGTTACAGCACAATTGCACTGAGGACAGAGAGCAGGTTCTGTATAATTTTAATCTTTTGAACCTCGTTTCATGGCCCTTCATTCTTGAAGTACATTTTTGCTAGGTCAAAAGTTTGTTCCTTTTTGAAAAAGATTTACATACTTAAAAGGCAGAATTAGAGGGAGGGAAGGAGGGAGGGTAGGAGGGAGAGAGAGGATATCTTCTGTCTACTGGTTCACTCCCCAAATGGCTGCAACAGCTGGGATTGGGCCAGGTTGAAGCCAGGAGCCTGGAACCTCACCTGGGGCTCCCACATGGGTGGCAGGGTCCCAGGCAATTGGGTCATCCTCCACTGGTTTCCCAGGCACATTAGCCAGAAGGTGGATCAAAAAGTAGAGCAGCCAGGACTGGAACCAGCGTCCATATGGGACGCTGGCACTGCAGGCAGCAGCTTTACCCACAATGCTGCAACTGCTAGCCTCTATAGCAGTATTAATCAGCTTGCAATGGGAAAGCCCTCAGGACCTAAATATCTCCCATTAGGTTAGACTGCCCACCCTGTTGCCATAGAGATTGTTTCCAACACACAGAATTTGGAGGGGACAGAAACATTCAAAGCACACCAGCATATAAATTTCCTCCTGTGGGACATCTTCTGCCTTGAGAACAGGAAGGCCAGTTCTGTAATAAAGAAGCCTGGATCTGGTAAGAATCCAAGAGGGTAGGGGTGGGAATTGTGGCTCAGTGAGTTAGGCTGCCGCCTGCAATACTGGCATCCCACATAAGTGCCAATTCTAGCCCCTGCTTCTCCAATTCTGATCCAGCTCCCTGCTAAAGCACCTGGGAAAGCAGCGGAAAATGGCTCAAGTGCCTGGGCCCCTATCACCCACGAGGCAGAGCCAGATGGAGTTCCAGGCTCCTGCCTTTGCCCTGGCTTAGCTCCAGCCATTTTAGCAGTGAACCAGTGAAAAAAAGCTCTCTCTCTCTCTCTCTCTCTCTCTCTCTTTTCCCTCCCTCTCCTTTCCTCCCCTCTACCTTCTCCATCTCTAACTCTGCCTTTCAAATACATAAATGAATCTCTTAAAAAAAGAAGAAGAAGAAGAATCACAGAAGGCAGAGCAGAACAGTAGGGCACAACAGGGAACTTGTTCCACCTCTGGTAGGCAGGGAGGCTGGGCCTTTGAAAACCTGGTATCCCCACATCCTCTCTTACCCCAGAATTCCACTGTAGAGGCACACCCTATTCCTCTAGCCCTGACAGATGGGATTGGACACTTTTAGCTGGTGCCACGGCTCAACAGGCTAATCTTCCGCCTGCGGCGCTGGCACTCCGGGTTCTAGTCCCGGTCTGGGCGCTGGATTCTTTCCCAGTTGATCCTAGTTCAGCTCTGGCTGTTGCAGCCAGCTGGGGAGTGAACCAGCAGATGGAAGACCTCTCTCTCTGTAACTCTTTGAAATAAATAAAATAAATCTTTTTTAAAAAGTGAAAAATGCTCTCATTAAATGACATAAAATTTCAAAAAAATATATGCTTTTAAAAAAACTGGATTTATTTCCACTAAGGAAACCTGGCCCAAAAAGGTCATGAAACTCCTGGTGGGAACATGGAACTTGTTACACCAGTCCAGAGTCAGGTCAGGGTTGTATGTACCTACTCCCTTCATCTCCCTCTACACCTTCTCCTGCTTCCCTCCTCCTCCTTCCCATTACATATTATCTTCCTTTCCCACCCAGGGCCTTTATTCTGCCCTGTACTATCCAGGCTATCTTCCTGTTTGAATCTTGGTTCAAAAATTCCCCATCCCATTCTCCGTTGTTTTCTCATACCGCAAAGTAGAGGGTTAATAGCTGTCTAGTCTCCCACATTTACAATACAACAACCCACAGGATGAATCCGCTATTTGAAAGGAACTTGTATTTGGCCTTAGTTTCTCACTTTTAGTTTTAATTGCACATTCCCAGAACTCAAGGGGAAATTCAGGCTTGTGGAAGAATGGTATTAGTTAGTGTGATGCCAAGGAAACAAATACCAGTTGCTCGACTGACATGAGGGAACAGATCAAGCTGTTCCTGTTAGACTGTTTGGGGCAACAGATGTCCAGGGAAATGTCCCCAGGGCCCTCAAAGGAAGAGTCCCCCAACACCTCCAGCATCATTCCTCTGCTTTTCTCAGAAACAACAAAAGTAGTCTGATTGACAATCATCTTGAACTTGAGGGTGATGAGTCAGCGTCCTGAAGGTGCCTTATTTACATGGGGATTTGCTGAGTTCAGGGCCACACAGAGAAAGAAACCAAAACTATGCTCCTTCTGGCATACCCTTGGCACAAGGAGTAACTTGTATGAAGCAAAAACATCAAGGCCTGGCTAGGTTAGGCAAAAAACAGGTGCACTGCTCCAACTAACTCGAGGAAGCTCCCAAAACACAGAAATTGTCTCCAAGGCAGGCATGAAGTTGTGGCCCTCCCTGGACCTACCTCACTCCTCAGTCAAGTTGGAGCCTGGTTCTCAGGGTGCCAACTGTTGGGAGATGGTGGATTTTTAAGAGGTGGGGCCTAGTGGAAGGCGATTACATCGTGGGGCACCACCTTGGAAGGAATGAATGCCCTTTCATGAAACTGGGTCAGGGCTTATGGGACCGAGTGAATTCCCATGAAGAGGTGCTGTAAAGGCAAGTGCAGCTGTCTCCTCTCACCCTCTTGCTTCCACTCTCCCTGGACAGGCTCCTTCTGCGCACGCCCCCTTACCTGCCATGCTGTGATGCTTCCAGGGGGCTCTTGCCAGAGCCAGTGCAATGCTGGTCAGACTGCAGCCACTAGAATCATAAGCCAAATAAACTCTTCATAATAAACAAAGCTGCCTCAAATATTTTGCTACAGCAACACAAAATGGACTAAAGTATCTTCAAAAGCTTTAAGTGGAAAATAAAACAAAAGTCAATCCAAATCCCCACCGCTTCTTGCACCTTCCTTCAATTTGGAGCTGAGCGTTTTGAATGATGACTCAGAAGTACTAAGGTCAAATCCCTTGAATTCTCAGTACAAGCAAACACATTTCCACAAGGACAGCAATGATCTGAAGGTCACCAGACAGAGCAAGGCAGGGACTTCTAATTGTTCTATACTTTGTCTCCCCTTCTTTCTCATTAATAGACTACTTCATGGCCACTCACTTTCCAGCCTCCCCTAGCAAAGAAAAGCCATGTGAGAAGTTCTGGCCTACGGGACATAAACAGAAGCAGTGTGGACAGCTTTGCAAACCATCTAGAGAGAAGTGGTAAATGCCCTTCACTGCCTTTGTTACCTTCTGCTGCCACCTCCTCCTCCTCCCCCTTCCTTGTTCTCCTTCTTCTTATCTTTTTCCTTTTCCTCTTTTTTCTTTTCTCTGCTGGCTAGCATGTGAATATAATGGCTGGAACTACTTTTATCTCTATTTCTCACATTTGAACTTAATTGTAACTATTATACATTTTAAGAGTGAGGAAGTGAAATTGCCATTTTGTCCTAAAACTAATCTACATTTTTAAGTACATCATGTCCCCCGGTCAGAACACACAGAATAGTCATCAGGTCTAGTTCTAGTATCCAAAATAAATAAGCCTTGATTATTGCCCATAAATTATGCCTCCTTTACAAGGCAACTTCATTCCTGACTTTTGTAATACTCATGCCTGGAGACATCTGACAAACTCTGTAGAGATGACAATTGTGAAAAATTACTGTATTTCCATAATGAATGCACTGATATATTTTGATAACCTTAATAATTTTTTTCACTTTTTTCTTTAAACGTCTGTGTGTTTTTAATTTATCTGACTCTTCTGCAAATTCAAGTTGCAATTTCAAGCAAACTTCCTCTTTTCCTTTCTAAGTGTTGGTTTTGACCCTCTGATTTCTTCCTTTCACAAAAGATGTGGCAATTCAAAATAATGGGGCCAATCTTGAGAAATGGAAGTAAATTCTCCCCCTGTGAAGAGAGTAACTACAAGAAATAGAGGAAATTTGGATACTTTTCATTTGTCAACGAAATTCAAGAGGATACCAATTATGAAAAGGGAGCAGGTGTTTTTGAAGACAGAGGAAACTGACATTAGGAAGGAGTATAAGAGCATTGAAAATCATGCTTTCCAAATTAACAAACACATATGCTATGGAAGAGGTGAACAAAAGACAAGGTAAATGAAACCACAGTAGGACAGAACAGGAAGTTCAGAGGCAACTCATATACGGAAGGAAAGTTAAGATGGCCCTAAGAGCTAATGGGAGAAGAACAAATTGTTTAGTATGACAATGGAAAAATGGCACAGAAAATGAAGAAAAATAAAATTAGATTCTCACAATGGCAGGCAAACGTTGGTGTGCCCCAAACATTCCCTACCTTTCTCAGCCTCCCTCACAATCGAGCTTGGGACCATGCAACTAACCCTGATCAATGGGCCGTGAAATAAACCCCAGTTTTAAGCTTGGGCAGTTAGGAGCTGATGGGTTTCCTCCATCTCTCTCTTCCCATGCTGCATTAACCTTGGAAGCTGAGTGCTCAGTTGTGGTGTCAGAAGACAGAAGGAGCCAGTAGCCTTCCACCACCACATGGAGGAGGACACTTGTTTGTGCATATTGAACTTTGCATGAGAGAGGAATAAACTTTTGTGGCAAAACACTGAAATTATTTGCACTGTTGTCTACCACAGCTAGAACTATCCTATCCTGACTAATATGATTACCAAAATATGTATGCAGAAGAGGAGGGATAAGCATAGGAGGCTATATGTTGACTTAGGGATAGAGAAGATTTCTTAAACAAAACTATAAAACAAGCCGTAATTAAGAAATAGACTCATATTAAAAGTAAGAATTTATGTTTATTGTAGAAGGAGTAATAGAATTTCACATCTGTAAACCACATGTAAAAAGTGATTCAGGCAAGAATCATCAACAAGTGCTAAAACACAAAGCAAAACACTGTTGGGGAACAGGATATTCACACAGCACTTAAGTATTACTCCACAGGTTATTCATATTACTCTTCCATGACTGGGAGACCACCTAAAACAAGTGATCAAACTTCTTAGACAAGAAGAATAATCCAGTATGCTTTGTCTGTGATCTATCAATCAAGTTAGCAATCAAAGATGGTAAGGTATTATTATCCATGTATTAGTTATCTATTGCTGTGTAAAAAAAATACCCTAAAACTTAGGTATAGAAAAACAAAAGCTCAGGAGCCAGCCACTGTGGCGCAGTGGGTTAACGCCCTGGCCTGAAGCGCAGGCATCCCATATGGGTGCCTGTTCTAGTCCCGGCTGCTCCTCTTCCGATCCAGCTCTCTGCTATGGCCTGGGAAAGCAGTGGAAGATGGCCCAAGTCCTTGGGCCCCTGCACCCATGTGGGAAACCCGGAAGAAGCTCCTGGCTCCTGGTTTTGGATCAGCGCAGCTCCAGTGTTGCGGCCATCTGGGGAGTGAAACAGCGGATGAAGACCTCTCTCTCTCTCTCTCTCTCTCTCTCTCTCTGCCTTTCCTCTCTCTGTGTAACTCTTTCAAATAAATAAGTAAATCTTTAAAAAAAAAGAAAGAAAAACAAAAACTCAGAAACTTCCATACAGCAAAGAAAACAATCAACAGAGTAGAGAGACATCCAACAGAAGAGGCGAAATTATTTGTAAGCTACTTATCCAAGAAAGGATTAATATCTAGAATGTATAAGGAAATCAAAAAAACTAAACAAAGAGACAAATAATCCAGTTAAGAAATCGGCAAAGGACCTGAATAAATGATTCTCTAAAAAAGAAATACAAATGGCCAACAAATATGTGAAAAAAATTCTCAATATCATTAACCATCAGGGAAATGCAAATCAAAACCACAATGAGATATCACTTCTTCTCTGTTAGGATGGATGTTATCAATAAAGTCAGAAAGTGACACATTTTGGCAGGAATGTGAAGAAAGGAAAACTCTTACACACTGTTGGTGGGAAGGTAAATTAATACAGCCACTTTGGAAAACAGCATGGAGATTGCTCTAACAGGAGAGATTGGGGGCTGACATTGTGGCATAATGGGTTAAGCCACCATATATAATGCTGGCATCCCATACAGGTGCCTGTTCTGGTCCTGGCTACTCTATTTCCAATTCAGCTCTCTGCTAACACTCTTGGGAAAGCAGCAGATGATGGCCCAGTCCCTGGTATCATGCACTCACATGGGAGACTCAGAAGAAGCTCCTGGCTCCTGGCTTTGGTCTGGCCCAGCCCCAGCCATTGTGGCCATTTGGGGAGTGAACCAATAGATGGAAGGTCTATCAGTCTCTCTCTCTCTCTCCCCCTCCCTGTCTCTCTGCCTTTCAAATAAACTAAATCTTTTTAAAAAATTAGAAATAGAACTGTGATACAATCCAGCAATTCCACTAGGAATAGATCCAAAAGACATGAAATTATTATATCAAAGAGATTCATGTTCTACCATGTTTACTGCAGTTAACTCACAGTGGCCAAAATATGGAATCAGCCAAGGTGAACATCAACAGATGAATGGATCAGGAAATTGTGGTGAGATACACACACACACACACATACACACACACAATGGAATATTATTCAGTCATACAAAGACTGAAAAAAAGACTGAAATCCTGTCATTTGAGCAAAATGGAACCACAGGACATTATGTTAAGTGACATAATTCACAGAAAGACAAATACTTCATGTTCTGCCTCATATGTGGAAGCTAAGAAACTCAATCTGAACAAAGAATAGTGATTACTAGAGGCTGGGAAGGAGGTAGGGAATTAGGGAGAACTGGGGTAATGAGTATGGAATCAGACTTAGACTGAAGGAATAAATTCTTAGTGTTGCACAGTGCAGTGAGGTATCTATAGTTCACAGCAACCTAGTACACGAGCAAATAGAAGAAAGGAGCTCCAGGCTCCAATCATAATGTCAAAGAACAGAAATGGCCCAGATTTTACCAGCACACACTGTTTACATGTGTTGAAATAGTGCACATAGTCCTTAAATGTGTGCAATGATTGTTAATTCAGAGAAACAGTAGATAGCTGTTATCTCACAGTTTCCATCAGTTGGGGATTTTGAGTGGCTTACCTGGACAGTTCTGGGGCACCGTCTATCAGGACATTGACGTAACTGAGGCCGGAGGAGCAGCTTCCAAGTTGGTGCTGCCAGCATCAGCCTTGGGTCCTCGCCAAATGGATTTCTACACAGGCTGCCTAAGTGTCCTTGTGGGCTAGCTTCTGGCTCCTCCCAGAGTCCCAGACCGAGTGACCTGAGATGAGAGTGAGCCAAGCAAAAGGCTCAGAGCTTAGACTAGGATAAGGGCTGAACCTAAAATTACTTTGCACAATAAAACGTGAGGAATGCTGAGTTGAGCAAGGGAGACAGGAAGTGGAGCCTGGACCCTTAAGGAGAGTGATCTCTTATATTCATTTTTTTTTAAGTTTTTATTTATTTGTTGAGAGGTAGAGAGAGAGAAAGAGAGACAGACAAGAGAAAGGTCTTCTATCTGCTAGTTCACTCCCCAAATGACCACAACAGCTGGAGCCGGGCTGATCCAAAGCCAGGAGCCAGGAGCTTCTTCCCAGTCTTCCACACAGGTGCAGGGGCCCAAGCACTTAGGCCATCTTCCACTGCTTTCCCAGGCCACAGCAGAGAGCTGGATCAGAACAGGAGCAGCCGGACATGAACTGGCGCCCAAATGAGATCCCAGCACCACAGGCAGAGGCTTAACCTACTATGCCTCAGTGCTGGTCCTCTCACATTCATTTTAAAATGCTTTCCTATTCTGGTTTGAGCAGTATTCTCCATATCATCTCAATATTCAGAGAAATCTCTTGTACTCAAAGATTTTGTGTTATTGTTGATTTGGTGGAATGTAGTAGGTAAGTAATAAACACTTGCCTTTCCTCCCTTGAAATAATACTCGGGTAAATACTGTCACTGAAATTCTCCTTTTTGTGTATGTGTGTTTTTAACGAAAGAGCACTTAAGGAGCTTCACATTTGTACTGCTAATCTGAGGTGGTATTCTTGACCTTTGCAGCATACAAAGAATTTCAGACTCTTTGTAAAAGTCTATCAGTTCCTCTTTATTCCCTATTTAGCCAAAATGGCTTTGGGAACTTAGGCTGTCCAACATTTGAGGAGTTAGATAAGCCTGTAAAAATCACATAACCTTCTTTTATCATTTTCCTGAAACTAGAAGACCATCTGAATCCCGTTACATGGCTCACTATCTGCAACATGCCCCTCACGCATGGTTAGCTGTCCTGTTTTATTGATGGTTAAGAGTCAGCCAATAAATTGGGGATCTCAGCAGACACAGTAAAAGGCTCATCTAGATCTAAGTTCTATGCAAAACATATTGATTTCTGCTGCTGTCTTCTATTCTTACGTTGGCTTTCTTATCAACATACTCCTCTGGCTCTTTAGAATTATTACTGCTTGACAGCACTCCCTACCACTGCCTTCCCCCTCCTCTTCGTCCCTATAGGGCAACCATCTCAGTGACTCCTCCTGAACTAAAAGTACATTCTGGCTTCTCCAGGGCCAGAATCCTAGTGCAGCAGTTTAAGCTGCCACCTGTGATGCTGCCATCCCATATGAATGTCGGCTCAAATCTAGGCTGCTCCACTTCCAATCCAGCTCCCTGCTAACGTGCCTTGGAAAGCAGTGGAAGATGACTCAAGTACTTGGGCCTCTGCCATGCAGGTGGGAGACTGATTAAGCTCCTGGTTCTGGGCTGGGCTTCAGCCTGTCCCAGCCCCAGCTCTTGAGGTTTGAGGACTGATCAGCCGATGGAAGCTCTCAGTCTCTCTCTCCCCATCTCTATACCTCTGCCTTTCAAACGAACAAAATAAATCTTTTAAAAACATTAGACCTCTCCTAGTCTGTAGATGTCTTTTCTGTCCAAACATAACCTGTGTTTTAAATTTTATTTAAGGTATACAAATGCAGCTTTGCTTCATCAAGAAATGGAATGTGACTGTGAACCAGGAACTCTGGGGCCAGGAGCAGTCTGAGTGTCCCCACAGTTGTGAGGCTTCACAGGTGTTTCTGAAATGCTCCTCCTGTTGAGAGTCACTGCACAAGGGAACCTCCCGTCTGCCTCTCCTTGCATCTCTGCCCACCACTCTCCTGCTACCCAACGAGCATTTGCACTGAGGGCGAGGACATTAGAGCTCTGATAGTGGGCAGACGACTCACCGTTTCTGAGAACTTCCACACTTCTGGGTAAATTCCAAACCCGATGAAAGTATCCTTTATGACCTACAGAGCTGAAGTTACACAAGTAGCATGACGTGGTGGTGCAGTGTATGTATCAGCGTGGCCAGGCCAAGGAATCCAGGTATTCGGTCAAACATCTGTCTGGATATTGCTGTGAAGGTATTTTCTGATGTGATTAACATTTACTTAATAGACTCCAAGTAAAGCAGAGGGCCTTCCAAAACATAGGTGGATCTCATCCAATCAGTTGAAAGTCTTAAGAGAAGGCAGAAAGAATTCTGCCCCCAGACTCGTGGGCCCAGTTACGACATCAGGTCTTCCTCAAGTTTCCAGCCTGCTGGCCTATTTGGCAGATTTTGGACTTGTCAGTCTCCACAATTGTGTAAGCAAGTCCTTTCAAATGATCTCTCCCTTGCTCTCTGGCCCTCAGCCCTCTGTCTTCATTTGTGCATCTCTTTGCCTCTCTGTCTCTTTCTCTACACACACACACACACACACACACACACAGGTATTTCAAAAAAGTTTGTGGGAAATGGAATTAAAAGATTGTGGTGGAATGAGAAGGCCATGCTAAGATGGCCACTGGCAATGGAGCCTGCCTGGCATCAGGCTGTGATTGGATGGCTTTGGAAACCACATGGCAACAGAGCCTGCCTGGCAACAGGCTGTGATTGGATAGCTTTGGAAACTGCCTTGCAACAGGCTGTGATTGGTTAGGGCATAAACCGTCTCTTGACTGGATTGGCTGCCTCAGCTATATAAGCTGCTATACCAACTAAAATAAACAAGTCTGCCAGCTGCTTGCCTCTGGCCCACTTTCACCTGACTCCCCGGGACTGTGTGTTGACTCAGCGCCTCTTGCCCGCGCTCCTCCTCTCAGAAGGAATCCACAGCAACAAAAGATAACTATTTGGGGATGGGCATTGTAGCATAGCTGATTAAACCTCTGCCTGCAACACAGTATCCCATATGGGTGCCAGTTCAAAACCCGGCTGCTCCACTTCCAATCCAGCTCTCTGCTAACGTGCCTAGGAAAGCAGTAGAAGATGGCCCAAGGGCTTGGGACCCTGCACCCACTGTAGAGACTCAGAAGAAGCTCCAGGCTCCTGGCTTCAGCATGGCTCAGTCCCGGCTGTTGCAGCCATTTGTGGAGTTAACTAGCAGATGGAAGATATCTCTGTTTCTCCTCTCTATAGCTCTGCTTCTTAAATAAGAAAATAAATAGATAACTATTTTGGTGCAAAAATTTTTAGATACTTTAATAATTTTTTTCATAATGTGCATTTTCTACAAAACTACAAAGACCTCCTACTATGCAGACATTACATTCTTTTTTTTTCACTTTTATTTAATATAAATTTCCAAAGTACAGCTTATGGATTACAATGGCTTTCCCCCCTCCATAACTTCCCTCCCACCCGCAACCCTCCCATCTCCCACTCCCTCTCCCATTCCATTCAAGATTCATTTTCAATTCTCTTTATATACAGGAGATCAATTTAGTATATATTAAGTAAAGATTTCAACAGTTTGCACCCACACAAAAACATAAAGTGTAAAATACCGTTTGAGTACTAGTTATAGCATTAATTAACATTGAACAACACATTAAGGACAGAGATCCTCCATGAGGAGTAAGTGCACAGTGACTCCTGTTGTTGACTTAACAAATTGACACTCTTGTTTATGGCATCAGTAATCTCCCTAGATTCTTGTCATGAGTTGCCAAGGCTATGGAAGCCTTTTGAGTTCACTGACTCTAATGTTATTTATTTATTTATTTATTTATTTATTTTTGACAGGCAGAGTGGACAGTGAGAGAGAGAGACAGAGAGAAAGGTCTTCCTTTGCCGTTGGTTCACCCTCCAATGGCCGCCGCGGCCGGCGCGCTGCGGCCGGCGCACCGCGCTGATCCGATGGCAGGAGCCAGGAGCCAGGTGCTTTTCCTGGTCTCCCATGGGGTGCAGGGCCCAAGCACCTGGGCCATCCTCCACTGCACTCCCTGGCCACAGCAGAGGGCTGGCCTGGAAGAGAGGCAACCGGGACAGAATCCGGCGCCCCGACCGGGACTAGAACCCGGTGTGCCGGCGCCGCTAGGCGGAGGATTAGCCTAGTGAGCCGTGGCGCCGGCCTCTAATGTTATTTAGACAAGGTCATAGTACATTAAATTCTTTCACCAAAATAATTTTTTTTAATTTTTATTTATTTATTATTTTTTTATTTTTTTGACAGGCAGAGTAGACAGTGAGAGAGACAGAGAGAAAGGTCTTCCTTTGCCGTTGGTTCACCCTCCAATGGCCGCCGCAGCCGGCGCGCTGCAGCCGGCGCAGCACGCTGATCCGATGGCAGGAGCCAGGTACTTACCCTGGTCTCCCATGGGGTGCAGGGCCCAAGCACTTGGGCCATCCTCCACTGCACTCCCTGGCCACAGCAGAGAGCTGGCATGGAAGAGGGGCAACCGGGACAGAACCGGCGCCCCGACCAGGACTAGAACCCGGTGTGCCGGCGCCGCAAGGCGGAGGATTAGCCTAGTGAGCCGCGGCGCCGGCCCAAAATAAAATTTTTTAATTCCATCTTCCATGAACATGTTGCAGTACATATAAATATATATTTTTTTAATTGATTTTGTTTTTCTGGAGAACCTTGAAATGTGCATCATATTTATTTCCAGCTTTCCCATCCATTGTCATTTCATTAGTAGTTTTATCCATGTTGTGATTATTTGACTTTTTTCCTTTAGTTATAACCCAGGAGGGAAGATCCTGCTGATGGCTTTCATGTAGGAGGTGGTCATATTTTGATTTCTAAATTAGACCAATCCTAAGGTCATCTCCTAGGGCAAGCCTGACCCCTAGATCTGCAGAACCATAACCCTTTGAAAAGGGCCACTGTTTCTGAAGGACCTGAGACAGACTCAACAGAATGGGACTGCTATATTCTGCATGTGTCCCCAAATTTCATGTGTTGCAAAGTTAATCCCAAACACAACAGCATGGGAAGGTAAGGTCTAATGGGAGATGTTTAGGTCATGAGGGCTTCACCCCTCATAATGGATTAACGATGCCATTAAGACAGCTTGTAGGGTAGGCTCACTATCTTCTGCCCTTCTGTCACCCTAGCACACCGTATTCCTCCTCCCCAAGGGATACAGCAATAGTTGCCATCTTGGAACCAAAAAAGGAGCAGAGTAACATTACCCTGACCTTGGACTTCTTGCCTCCAGAACCATGAGAAATAAATTTCTATTCTTTGAAAATTACCTAGTCTGTGGCATTTTATTACAATAGCACAAAACAGATTAAGATAGGGACCCAAGGGCTGGTCCAGATGTTGGTGCTGACATTCTTGCAACTACTGTGGGACTGATTTCACACTGAGTGCAATGAACAACTTTGTAGAGATTTGCATAAATAAGGTGTCACTAATATCAACAGACCGTCTGCCTGTATCAGCCTTTCTCTTTCACTCTCTTGTCCACGGGAACCCTGACAAGTCCCCCCGACAGCTGGGTTTCTGACTCTCAACGACAAACTTCTGATACAATTAGCTTCTTTCTAATTAGCTTTCTTTAGAGTTCCCACAAACAAAAGTTTTCACATTGCCCCAGTTAAAATATAGGACTAAAACAAGAAATACTCCTCTTTTCACTTTTTAAGTTTTCATGAATTTTCTCCAAGCTTTTTGGTTTATGTGGCACAAAAATGTTTCTGAAAATATGACAACCTGTGAATGAAAGTGAGAAACTACTCATTTTCAGATATCTACTGTAGGTGTTTTTCTATGAATTTATGCTTTTGCTCATTCTATTTCTCTTCCCTAGCCCAGTTTCCCTAGCCTATCCACACTCATCTAAATATAAGGGAATGAGGACCAAACTGACCAATGATTTCTGTTGGACTCATGGATAAGTCATCATTTTCCAATAAACAAACAAGAATCAATTATCTGACACATGAATTCTTGTAGAATTTACTTTGCTTCATGAGCAGCTAGCCTGTTTCTTTAGCTTTCTTCTGCATCATCCTTCACTCTCTAGAATCTTAATGCAAAAACCATGGCATGAGCTCTGGAACTTCGACTGCAGGCTCCAGTAGAAGCCAGTGATTCCCACTGTGTGGGACATGTCCTTCTCCGGCATTCAGGCGCCGGTACCAGGCCTCCCAGGTGGACAGAAAGCCCTGAGCGCAAGGCAGCCGAGGGGAAAGAAGGGAACCGGACTGTGTGCTGAACTCACAGACCTTCCTCAGGCTCCTGTGGTGGGATAGCCCTTCTTCCCCTCCCTGCTGATTACGTCATCATGGAATTCCCAACCTAACTGCTTGCTGGGATTTTGGCAAAGGTGCAAAGAAAAGATATTCTGCACTTTTTATATCTGCCTGAACAGGACCATAATCTTCCAACTTCTCTCCTTCCTCAGTGAATACCGCGAGTTGCTGTTCTGACAACCTGGAAAGAAGCGCATTCGACCTAAATCAAGTCAGTGACATCTTTGAGCACCCTCATCATCACACTTTCACTAGGAGAACCTGACGCTTCTATGCACACAACTAATTTGATGCAGTAGTGAGGAAATTCTGGGCCATACTAAAATGGACTGTCACGTAACATCCAAATATTTACCTTCACTCTAGTCTTGACCGATAATGAGGTTTAGGGAGTTGAGCTGGAGTCCTGCGGTGTTACCGCATTCGTTATTCAGAACTATTCTTAAACATCCCTTTGAGGAGGGGATTGGATGGGAGTTTGGAAAGCTAGGGCTTCAGGGGGAATAAATGATTATTTAAATGAAAGAAAACTGGGATGCAGCAAATCCTCCCTCTTCCAAAATCTGTAGTAGGCAGGTAGCAACAGCAGAGGAGCACCTCTTTCCAAACAAATCTCTTCACAAATCTCAAGATAGAATCTGTTCTTCTCTCCACTTGATTCATTTTTTATATCCTAAACTGAGTGAGAAGTTTTTAAGTCACAGAATTAGTTTTGAAATATTTGCCTTTGATTATTTGCTTTCAGTGACCTGGCTTTAGAATTTCCCATCTGCAGTACCTCGGTGCTTCATCAAAATTTCAACGTTAGCATCCTCTTAGATATATAAATAAAAGAATACAAAATTACAAGGAAATAAAAGCAAATCCATAAAGACAGGAGGATATGTTAACATATTTCTTAGGAACACATACCTTATAATGCAGACTCATAAATATATAATATTTAGAAATAAAACCAACAGGTCGGCGCCATGGCTCACTAGGTTAATCCTCCGCCTGCGGCGCTGGCACCCTGGGGTTCTAGTCCTGGTCAGGGCGCCGGTTCTGTCCCGGTTGCTCCTCTTCCAGTCCAGCTCTCTGCTGTGGCCAGGGAGTGCAGTGGAGGATGGCCCAAGTGCTTGGGCCCTGCACCCGCATGGGAGACCAGGGGGAAGCACCTGGCTCCTGGCTTCGGATCAGCGCGGTGCGCCAGCAGCAGCACACCAGCCGTAGTGGCCATTTTGGGGGGTGAACCAACGGCAAAAGGAAGACCTTTCTCTCTGTCTCTCTCTCTCTCTGTCTAACTCTGCCTGTCAAAAAAAAAAAAAAAAAAAAAAGAAAAGAAATAAAACCAACAAAGATGCACAAAATCTTTATGGGGCAAAGGTAAAAATTACATTGGAAGATACAGAACAAAACACAAATGCCAACAGACATGTATGTTTCTGGATGAGAAAAATTAACACTGTAAAGATGTCAACTGACCTCCAAATTAGTCTATGCCTTCAGTGCAGTCTCAGTAGCAACCCCAGCAGGATTTTTAGGAAACTGGACTGGACTGTTGTAAAGTGGCAATGGAGAAATAAAGGCACACTGGCAGTTTAGACCACTTTTAAAGAAAACACAAAGATGTGTGTGTGTGTGTGTGTGTGTGTGTGTGTGTGTTGGGAGGAAGGGTGTCTCTTTGCCCTAAACAAGTCATATGAAGGCTCCAGCATTTAAGATAGTGTGGTACTGGGGCTGGCGCTGTGGTGTGGTAGGTTAAGCCTCTGCCTGCTGCACCAGCATCCCACATGGGCGCCGGTTCGTGTCCTGGCTGCTCCTCTTCTGATCCAGCTCTCTGCTAATGGCCTGGGAAAGCAGTGGAAAAGGGCCCAAGAGCTTGGGCCCCTTCACCCATGTGGGAGACCCAGGGGAGGCTCCTCGTTCCTGGCTTAGGATTGGTCTAACTCTGGCCATTGTGGCATTTGGAGAGTGAACCAATGGATGGAAGACTTCTGTCTCTCCCTGTCTGTAACTCTACCCCTCAAATAAATAAATCTTTTTTAAAAAAATCTGTGGTATCAACATAGGAGATAAATATGCCTGTGATGCAGAAAAGAGCCCACAGACGCAGGCACAAGACGCAAGCAGGTGAACAGTGCAGGAAGCTTCGAGCTCAGCAACAGAAGGTTGCCTATTCAGAAAAATGGGAAGGCTGGCTCATGTAAATGCCTAGGTTGGGAAACCAAAGAAAGCCAGCCACACCCAGGTACATCAGAATCCAAATGCAGGAAACCGAAGACAAAGGAAACACATTTTGAAGGCAGCCAAAATAGAACTACGTGTTTACAGAAAGAGCACAACTCAGACTGCTGTGAATTTCTCACCAGAAGAAGCTGAGGGCTAGAAGAAAGTGACACGGCATTTTTTAAAGTACTGGGGAATAAAGGCCTGTCAACGCAGAACTCACCATTCAGTGAAAACATCCTTGAGGACTGAAGGTGAAACAAATAAAGGCTCTCTCAGATGCAGGAACACTGAGAATCTACAGCCAGCAGAGCTGCTCTAAGACAAGCGCTAAAGGAAGCCCTTCAGATGGAATAGAAATAATACGAGACGACGCGAAATGTCAAGGATGGAATAAGCACAACAGAAATTACAAATACTGGGTAAACAGAGTAGACTGTTCTTCTCTGGAGTTCTTTAAAATATTCTTGGTGGTTGAAGGCGTAAATAGTAACAATATCTAGTGGGATTTCTCAGTGCAGGCACTAGTAACGTATGGCAACTATAGCATAAAGCAGGGAGGGGAAGGGTCTTTCAAGGTAGTAAGGTTTCTATATTCCAATTAAGGTGGTAAAAAAAATGATTCTAAGATGACAATGAAACACACTTATATATTTTTTAATCCCTAGAGCTGACCAAAAAGTTGTACAAAAAGATAGTCAAAAGCACAATAAATTAAGATGTAATATTTTTTAAAATATTCAAATAACTCAAAAGGCACCAAGAAAGGAGAAACAAGAGTCTCTCCACAGGGAGAACACACAAAAACAAATTGACCAAGTGTGACAGTGAAATCCACATATGCATACATCAGTGACTGCTTTAAAAAGAATGAGATGCATCCATATGCACTAATGTAGGAAAGTCTTAATGACATGTTGCTATGTAAAACGGAAGCGATTGAACAAAACACCGTTGTAATGCCAGCTAAGCTTTCACTGTATCCCTGTGTGTTCATGTACATTTACATTCCCGGCTCCATGTACATGCATTAGGGAAAGTCTAGATGTATACTCAAAATAGTTCTCCAAAGGCCACTTGGATCAGAAAGGATAAACAATGCCAAGAGTGTCTGTGGGGCCACTGTTGTGGTGTAGCGGGTAAAACCACCACCTGAGTGCCAGCATCCCATATGGGCGCTGGTTCAAGTCCTGACTGCTCCACTTCTGATCCAGCTCTCTGCTATAGCCTGGGAAAGCAGTAGAAGATGGCCCAAGTCCTTGAGAAGAAGCTCCTGGCTCCTGGCTCCTGGCTTCAGATTGGCACAGCTCTGGCCGTTGTGACCATCTAGGGAGTGAACCAGCAGATAGAAGACCTCTCTCTCTTTCTCTCTCTCTGCTTCTCTGTAACTCTGCCTTTCAAATAAATAAATCTCTTTTAAAGAAAAAGTATGTTATTTTAATTTTTATGAAAAGAATGTAGGTATGTATTACATTGCCATTAAAAATAAATGAAATTGACAATGTTGAAAGGGTGTGTTGTTCACAGTGTGCAGGTGACGCTACCATATGGGAGGCAGTCGTTTTAGGTTCCCTGAGTCAGGAGCGTACCCAACTGCTTTCAGCAGAATTTGCCATCAGTGTGTCGGTCTGTTTCCTATCTGCACAGTTTATCTTCTACTCCCATTTTTCTTCCCCCTATGAAACTTCAATGCTCAAAGTCCTCCAGCTCTAACAGTTGTTGAGCTGATCTCCCCTTCCTCCACCTACCCCAGCTTCATG